CCTCCTGCCTCAGCCTCCCAAGTGCTGGGATTTCAGGCGTGCGCCACCACACCCTTCGATCCTGTAACTTTCTCGTTTTTTCTTTTCCTCTGCGGGCACCTCGTTCTTGGGACCTGTCACCCCAGACAGAAACTGACTATACACCCACAGGAGACCAGTTTGAAACTGAGATTGGATAGTCTTTTTGGGGGGGGGCTAGTTTCCGGTACCGGGAATCGAGCTCACGACCTTGTGCTTGCCAGGCAGGCGCTGTGCCACTGAGCTGAATCCCCAGCCCCTTGGATAGTCATTTTGGCTGACAGGTTGTTTCAGCAATATCATTTTTTTCTTGTTACAGGTCTGAGAAGTGAACCGTATAATGATCTACCCTGAGCTATACCTTTTTTTTTTCCTTTTGTTTTTTTCCCAGTACCGGGAATCGAACTGACGACCTCACGCTTGCCAGGCAGGCACTGTGCCGCTTAGCTAAATCCCCAGCCCCCTCTGAGCTATACCTTTAACCCCTTTTTATTTTTCGTTTTGAGACAGCATCTCACCAGGTTGCCCAGGCTACCCTGGAACGTGTGATTCCCCTGCCTTGACCTTTCAAGTAACTGGGGTTACAGGTACCACCACACCCACTCACATACTGACCTCTGATTATAATAAAGTTCTATGTAAATTTATGTCAAATAGTTGTGTCTTTCTGAACTGTCATGTATTTTCCAGTTCCACATGGGAAACAATTTGTAAAGGTAACCGGCAAGGAGCTGGGGAGATAGATCCATAGTAAAGTGCTTGCCTAACATCACTGAAGTCCTGGGTTTGATATTCAGACGGGGTGGGGGGTAGGGTGGTGATTAACTGGAAGCAAATCATTTCGGGGTCAATGTGGTGCTTGGGCTGGGGAGGGAGTAGGCTGGTGGCAGACAGCTCAGTGAACATGCGTACGACAAGCTGGGGAGCATGTGTGTGAGAATCACAGGGCCTGATGACTAGAAGGGAGGTGAGAGGCATTTAGGATTTGGTTCACAGTGATGCTATTAACGGACCCTGAGAACACAAGGGAAGAAAAGAAGGTGAAATAGCTTTGGGAAGGAAGATGCTATCACTGAAGCCGTTTCATGAACTTAGTCTAAAACTCAGGATGAAGGACAGAAGTGGGACGGTGCTTCTGTTCTCATCTAGGTTTGGATGGCAACTAAGGCCGGGGATGGATGGAACTCTCCAGGAGAGAAGCGATGAAGGGCAAGCCCTGGAACATGTGTTTCCAGAGCCAGCACCAGAGGAAAAGAACCGGGAGAAAGCGGCAAAGATGACTCAGACAACAGACTGAGCAGGGAGTGGGCGGACGCCCCAGCGAAGGGCTGCGGGAAGAACACTGGCAGTGAGGGGTCAGCCTTGACCTTAGCGAGAATGGCATCAGAAGAGCGGCTGAAAGGCAGTGGCCTTGAAGAATGTACCGGTTAGTGGATTATCCTCCCTGTAGCCTGCTCGGGGAAAGATCTGAAGCTTTGCCTGCAGAGGGCACTGGAGACGCACTGCAAGAAGGAAGAACTGTTTCCCGACTGAAGTGTGCCAGCCAGGCCGGCTCCTGCAGGCCCAGGCTGCTCCATTGTGGGGTCCTAGCAGCTTGGGTGACGTCCCTCAGCCACGACTGCAATACAGCAGCTTCTCTGCCTGCCTGCCCACTCCTGCTCCTACTGGGGGAGTTTCACAGAGGGCCTGGGGTGGCTGCTGAGACACGTCTATGTAATTAGCTTTCTCCCAGGGCCCTAGAGTAGGGGTCAGCAAACTTTCCCTGAAAAGAATAGATGTTGTGGGGGAAAAAAAAATGTTGAGGGCCAGGGTACAGCTCAGAGGCACAGCGCCTGCCTGGCAAGCACAAGGTCCTGAGTTCGATTCCCAGTACCAAATGGATGTTGTGTGTCTGTCCCAACGACTCAGCTCTGCTCTTGTAGCATGAAACAGCTACAGAATTTATAGCTGTGCTCCAAAAACTTTATTTATGGATGCTGAAATTTATTTATGAATACTGAAATTTATACTGAAAGTACCTCAAGAAATCATCTTTTGATTTTTTTGCCCTCAACCATTTGAAACTGCAGATGCCGCCCTCAGTACTCCTGGGCTACATAAAAACAGATCGTGGGCAGGCGACTCAGGAGGCCAAGGCAGGAGGGCGGGAAGGTCAGGGCCACCCCGGGCAACTCAGCGAGATCATGTCTCAAAATAAAAGTAATTAGAGGAGGCTGAGGATGCAGCTAAACGGTACAGCACCTGCCAGATTGTAGCAGGCCCTGGGTTCAATACACAGCACCACACACACACACGCGTGTACACACACACACACACACGCACACACACACACACACGTTTGTCGTTCACTGAGTCATGGTCCCCTGTCCCAAGTCGAGTGTTGGGGGCTGGGCAGGATGGAGGGTCTCTTCTCTGGGGGTGCTGCCTCCGCCCTAGGAGAACCATTGGAGAATAGCTGTTGAGTCTGCTCTTAAAATTTTTTAAATTCTTACTATTTTTACCAGCTGCATTAATTTCTAGCATTTCTTAAAAATCATTGTGAGTTTGCCAACTTGAAGAGTAAATGTGGGGGGCTGGGGATTTAGCTCAGCGGCAAAGCACCTGCCTGGCAAGCACAAGGTCGTGAGTTCGGTTCCTGGTACCGGAGAAAAACCAAAACCAAAAAAAA